TTCTTTACTGCAGCAGCATCAGGTCTCGATAACATTTAGTCTCTCTGCATCTCATGTTTCTGTTTTTCTGCCGTCTGAAGCTGAAACTGGATTTTGTGTTTAATCTGCTGCTTTGAGTGAATCACCTGTTAACCAGGATGTGACTCAAAATGGAGGAAAACATCATATAAATTAATGTTATTTAATTATTAGCTGAACACGACGCCAGGTGAGGAGGTCTGGACCCAGCCCCAGCTCTCCGTGAAGACGAGAAGAAACCTCGGGAAAGGCAGTTCAAAGAGAGATCCTCTTTCCACGGACGGCTGGGTGGAGCTGCAGGAGAGACGGAGGAAAAAACACCATCAGCTCCTCTGGTCGGACAGGAAACAGCATTAGAGCAGAATTAAATGTTGATAAAACTTCCGGATGTCTGGAAAGTCGAACGCCATCTTTAGACTTTCTACATCTGAGAGTACGCGAGGGTCGGCGTGACGGGAAATTCAGTCACGGACAAAAGTGACCAAAATGGAACAAAAAACAACAAACTGAGACGCAAAATGACCAAAACCTGCAGAAAAAAACAGCTGTGAGCACGTAAACTGATCAAAATGTGCCACAGAGCGATCAGAGTCAGACACTAAATGATCAGATGGTAGTTTGTGGGTGTTGTGAAAGCCTTCAATCCAACATGTCAGCGTGCAGCCTGATGTCTGAGCTGCAGCTGGTTTCCTGGACGCTGTCCTACCTGACCGACCACGCTCCATCTTTCTCTCTTTGCTCGTCATGCTCGCTCACGTTTCACACTTGACATCTGTAACTAGAGCTCCTGAATTTGTCCCCAGAGGTTCTTCACAATGTGGAACGTGATGAGTCACATGGACAGTCCCAAAATGCACCTCAGTGCTGCTACCTGTGCAGGGAATCTGATCTGATCTATAAAACGACTGAAATGAGCAATGAAATGGGACAAAAAACCCACAGAGAGATGCAATACGATCAGACTGAGACACAAAATGACCGATATGAGACATTAGCTGACCAAAATGAGTCATAACGTGACTGTAATAAGACACAAAATGGCCGACATGACACACGAAATGATCTATATTAGACACAAAATGGCCGATATGACACACGAAATGATCTATATTAGACACAAAATGGCCGCTATGGCACAGTAAATGACTGAAATTAGACACTAAATGACCAACACGAGACACTAAATTAACAATATGAGACTCTAAATGACCAATATGTGTTTAAAGGTTGTATATCTACTGTCCAGTTTGTTTATAGCAGCCTGTGAATGATCATAATAAATAAAAGTGATCATCTTATTTAACACTCGGCCGTTAATGAACCTCATGCTGCTGCTTCACTGTCATACCGACGATAATCAGAGTTTCTACCAGAACATGGGGTCTCCACCAGTTTCTAGAGTTCTTCTATCAACCCTGGGGGTCTGTGGAGACGCCTGGCGGACACCGACCCTCCGTCTGGCCTCCATGTTGTCCTGATGCTGGCCGGTAGACGGCGCAGATTCCCCCGTGATTACAGGAGAACCCCCCCCCCGGTGTCAGACGGTACCGGAACCTCCGTAAACATCGTCCCTCGCTGCTTCCAGCCGCGGACCATCACTTTACCTTCGGTCTGTCTCTCCTGTCGTGTCTCTTTTCTGCCGGCGGGCGGCGCTCAAAGTTCGCCATTTTCTTTAAACGTCCCGCCGCTCGCTGTCCGCGTCAACGGTGACAGCGCTTCTCATTGGCTGAGAGTCAGAGCGTC